GGAAGTCAGGGTTCCTAGTAACACTATGGTTTGTTGTATACATTCATGGTGGAGGGAGATGCTGTCTTTTAGAGGAGGGTTAGGAAAATGAAGACAGGTTTTCCCCATCTAGATTTGGCTCCCATGCATTAGGTCCATGGTTCAGAGCTCCATATTAGGACATGGTATTTAGATGTGTAGGGATTTTGGCTGTTCAGTAATTTTGCTCATACTGGTATATGAGAGTGTGGGGCTCTGGAGGCCTTCAGATACCCACTTGGCATTCAAGCCGAACACTGGGTGAGCAACAGCCTTCATTTTCATCCTGAGGTTTGGGCCAAAGAGACAGCCTGTACTAGAAGCCTCTGTAATGTGGTCTTTAGGTGCCATCCATTGAACTTTTCTTTCTTTCCTTTATTTTTTAAAGATTTATTTTAGAGTGAGCACAAGTGAACAGGGGAAGGGGCAAAGGAAGAGAGAGAATCCTCAAAGAGAGGATTCTGTGCTGAGTGTGGAGCCCAGTGTGGGGCTTGATCTCACAACCTTGAGATCACGACCTGAGCTGAAGTCAAGGGCCAGCTTTTCCCGAGTGACTGAGCAACCCAGGTGCCCCTCCATTGGACTTTCTAGTACATTTTAGGAAGTAATTTTTTCTTTTCTTTTCTTTTCTTTTCTTCTTTTCTTTTCTTTTCTTTCTTTTCTTTTCTTTTCTTTTCTTTTCTTTTCTTTTCTTTTCTTTTCTTTCTGATTATTCATGAGAGATACATAGAGGCAGAGACACAGGGAGAGAGAGAAGCAGGCCCCCTCAGGGGAGCCTGATGTGGGACTCCATCCTGGGACCCTGGGATCATGACCTGAGCCAAAGGCAGATGCTTCACCCACTGAGCCACCCAGGCCTCCTCCACCGAGACTTCTTAAATGAAATTTTCTATACACAGAAAAGTTGAAACTGTAGTTGAGTTATATCCATATGCCCTACATTGAGATTCTTTTGCTAATATTTTGCTACATTAATTTTTTTTTTGAGCCCTTAGAAAGCTTGCATGGTAAATTGCAGATGTCACAACACTTCTTAGGGATGTTTTTCTCTATAATATTTTAACTAAAAAGGTTATTTAATATTTAGGCCCTGTTGAGATTATAGCTGTATGTCAGTTTTTACGTGTTCGTGGTAATACGCATTCCTCCCACCCATGTGGAATCCTCTGTGACAGTAGCTTTAAGACAACTTGGGGGCAGCTCAGACTTCAACTCACCTTGGTGTATTTTGGCCACTAGTGCTCCCCTGTGCTTTTCCAGTAGTGGTCTGGGTATCGAGACCTTTTTGAGACTTAACATCTTTGCTTAAACAGTTTAGGAGATTTATTTTTATAAACAGCACGGTTTGATGGTAGCAGCTGGGAGCAAATACTTTGATAATGTAACTTCTTGTATTTATTCTTTTTTATCTGAAATGTTGAAACTCATTTTTTATGCTTTCTGGAAATAGGATTTAGTGGCATTGAATTTTGTGGCACACTCTTCCTTTATGGGAACAATCTATATGTTTATTGTTAAAATAGGAAATTATCTCAGCAGTGCTCCTTGCAGTCTGTGTGATCGTGTGCAAGCTGCCTTAGCTTCTGTGCTGCAGTGTGGTCACTGTCTGTGCCTCCTGGTGGCTGTGAGGTGCCTGAGCAGATGCACACACAGCAGCATGTGGACGCACAGTGTGTGCCTTGGGACATATTTTTTCTGTGAAACTGTTTGTAAGAATGTTGTCCCCATTATTACGGAGAGAGAATTTTGAGTTTGAAAACTAAATTAATGACACATTTTAAAGATTGTTTAGCAAGATTGCAAACCTGGATAGTTGGCCTTATTTTAGCAAAGATGGATTTAGCAAAGGAAAATCCAGGATCCTTTCTTCCTCAGCTTTTTATTCTGAAAAATTTCAAATTGAAGTAAGAGTTCAAAGAATAGCATTGGTACGCATCAATTAGATTTGTTATTTGTTATTTTCATTTTCTTCTGTGTATTTCATTTTCTTTCCTGAACCATTTGAAATTCATTTTCAGACCTTACGGGAGTCTGCCTCTGAAATCTCCATGTGTGTTTCCTGAGAATGACTGTGCAACCCCAGCGTCACAAGTGTGTGCAGGGGGCCGTCAGTAATGCCCGAGTGTCCATCACATTCTCCACTCCAGCCTGCACATCACGGCTCCTGTAGTCCAGGATGGAGCTGTATGTGGCTGTCTAGCAGAGTGGGGCCTGCTTGCCTTGTAGACACTTGCGTGTGGCTTCTGTATCACCCAAGTTCACCGTAAACTGGGGCTGAGGTCCAGAGGCTTGAGGAAGGGTTTCTGACAATGTCGTGTGAGCAGTGGTGCCCCTGGAGGCTGTTGGGGGATGCCCAGCTCATGTGAGGGGCACTGGCTTGAGTGGCCTTGCTTCTGAAAGCCACGTGGCCCTGTGGCACCCTTCCCCTTGTGGCGGCCATGGCATTGGGCCTCTCCAGACCTAGGACTGCCTTTCTGTGGCCTGTGACAGCATTTTCTGTAATACTTGGAAAAAAACTTTTAGAATTCCTATTCTCCTAGAAATAAGGGGTTTTTACTCTGTCACCATTTAAAGTTCTTAAAAATAATTTCTTTTTGTTTTGTTGACTAAATTAACCACTTAATAGAGTAACTTAAGGGAAAGTTTATTAAGGTAAAAAAATAAAAAATTTTTGAACAAATTAAATTTGTCTCTTTCCAGACAGAAGAGTGAGATTTGTTTTAGAGATTTTTGAAGCATTCTGTGGCAGCTGTTGGAACAGAGCAAAGCCAGGGGTGCGAGGTGGCGCCGGGTAGTGTTCTCACTCAGGCTCTCCTTTCTCTCTGGACTCAAAGGCGTCTGGGTAGATGAGGTAGTTGGGATATTGACTGTATCTCAAAAAATGGGGAAAACCTACCTGGATCTAAAATTTTGCACTCTTAGCTTATTCAGAAAGCTCCTTGCAGCCTTCCCCACAATGGCTCTCTCACCTCGGGCATTGCACTGTTTTGAAGTAGAACAGGGGTGACAGGTTCATCCCGGTGATCTGTGCAGTAGGGAGTGTCACCGGGAGACCCTGAGTGTGCTCAGGAGAGGGGCGGGCACTTCAGGACCCCAGGAAGCTGGGTTTCTCATGGTGCAGAGCAGATTTACTCACCAGGGAGGATACATTGGTATTTGTATAGATGAAAACCTGCCTCAGTCTTCGGGTAGCTCCGTGAAGGGGTGGATGTTCTCTGGTTGGGGGATGGTGCATCGTTTGTCAAGTACCACTGAGGATGCTCTGGTGGTAAGGGGGAGCCAGTAGGGGAGGCAGGAGAGAGCTGACGTCGCCCTCGGGGTCGGAGGTGTGAGGGTGGGTTGTCCTCTCTCATGCAGGGCTGTTCCCCTGGCAGGTGGCCACGTGCTTGCCTGCTTGCTCCATTGGTTGTCCATACCTGGTGGCATGAGCCGTGGGCACTGGAGGCTTTGCCACCAAGGGGACAGGACAAGAGGGGTGAGAAAATGGAGGCAAGCAGGGGAGTAGCTGTCGTGGGTGATGTCCGAGGAGTTGGAGCAGTTGCAGGGGCAGGTTGGCCCCGATGATGCCCACGAACTGTGGGACAGTGCTGAGGCCCCGGCACACCAGGAAGTGTGGGGTAGAGCATCCATGCAAGGGGAGGGGGACGATCAGAGGTGGTTTGAGATGAGGTCCTTGCGGTGAGGATTCCGGAGCTCTCGTAGGCTTGGTGGTCAGAAGGTGCGAGCTGTGATTCTGGAGCTTGGGGCGGGAGCAGCGGTCTTGAAAGGAGGGTGTCAGAGACCTGGGGGGCAGACTGCAGGAGTGCATCGTTCCGAGGGCATGGTGAACATGGTGGCACAGCGGAGGGGATTGGGCATGGGGGCCTTGGGTGGCCCCAGGCCCAGGCAGCAGGCTGGCATGTACGATATTCCCGTGCTGTGGCCTGGTGGCCCTGTGGGTGGCTGATGGGGAGCTGTGGGCAGGAGTAGCCGCTTGTGGCCTTCTAGAGGGTGGGGGCATTGTGTAGGATGCTGGAGAGGCTGCGGGTGGACCTGGGAGATGGGTGGCAGCCTCTGCGGGGGCTCCCCAGGCCTTGGGTGGTGAGGCTGCAAGCCCTAGAACCTCAAGGGGGAAGAGCCAAGTCCTGAAGAGGTGCTGCTCCTGCGTCGCATGTTCTCACTTAGGTGTGTGCTGCCTCCCTTCCTCCTGAGCCTCAGTGGGGGCCATACTCGCTGAGTGAGTTCTAACATCTGGTCATTTTTAAGTCTGCCTTGAATATGGAAAAGTTTAATATAGTTAAGAATTTTCATCTGTTAAATGGATTCTTCTCTCCCAATTAATGATTAATAAGGCTTTTTAATCATTTTATTCTGTTACATTTTTGTCTCGAAAATTAATTCAGCACTGCCTTCAGTTCTTGAATCTGTGAACACGTGGCCGTGGTTGCATGAAGACTAACCCCACGAAGCCCAGGGTAGTGCTGTGCATCTGTGAGATACGCAGGAGGCGTTGTCTCCACATATGTGTTACTCTGGATGCAGTGGGAATCAGATTTACCTTAAGGGATAAACTGCTTCCCTAAGATGACTTAACTTTTGCATGGGTACAGGAGTTGCTGCTCTTCCCTCTGGTTTCTGGAAGCTCGGGAGTAGACAGGGCACTTGAGTCCTGTTGGCTGTGCTCCTCTCTCTGACCTGCTGGCCCCCTTCCTCTGAGGGAGGACCCTGTTCACTGCCACCCCGGTGCTCTCCCTTTATGGCTGTGGCAGCAGGATGGGTCTTGGGCTGAGTGCAGAAGGCAGATGCAGTGTGGGCGATCCCACGGCCTCCGTGGGTGGTGCAGCCCCTGGTGCCCAGGTCTGAGGAAGTCAGGCTAATTGCTTCTGGGCAGACCACTTTGTGGCTGATGTTGTGTTTAAAATTTTACGTTAGTTGGTGGCTCACTCGGGTAGTTTTGCTTTTGTGATGCTCTAGTAACGAACCATTACTTCACTGTTTTACAGAGTCCTTATGATTTCACATGTTTTTGCTGAACTTGTAAAAAAAGGCACTTGGATGATGGATTAACAGGAACATTGAGATTCTGTGAAAAGTTTCAAATCGGAGAGTATTCAATTTTCACCCTAGTCCAGCAGCTGTGCTGCTCACTTAAATACAGATGAATGAAGACCCCATTCGGGAAGACACCTGGCCAGCGGTCCAGAGCGGATGCAGGTAGGCGGCCCCTGCCTTTGTTACTACGTGTGGAACATGGTAACATCCAGGAGTCTCTCACATGGCTCCTACTGGTTGGCTGTTCTTAAAACTTTGTGCTTTCCAGGGTTCCAGACACATACATGGGAAATAATAGGTCCCTTTTTTTCAAAGGCAGGGAGCATGTTAATATTTTTTTCTGTGGTCTTTCTGGTAAATACAGATGTCTGCTAAATACAGCAAGTGAATTATAAATACTTACCTCATGGGATTATAATAAATGAAAGTGATTTGACTAGAACAGTATGAGTGTTAGGCTATTTAGTGATTTTAAGGAAAAAAGCTTTTGTATGTTTATTTGAAATAATTTATTGGGATGAAATGGGTGGAAATGAGACAAATATTTACTAGACACGAACTCTTGTGGCACACAGCTATTACAACTAGATAGAAGGTTAGACTTTGCATGATCTTTACCCACCCCAGAAGCAAAGGTAAAATCTTACAGGCTTACATTCTGGAATAGGTAAGTGATATTTTCTTTAGGCCGTAAGTTCTTCTTCAGTAATACATTTGAATGTTGAAAAAAGTCTGTCATAACATTTTAAGATTCTATGATAAATGAGAGAATTCTGCTGGTAAAATAATAATACTCCAGAAATGGTTGCTGTTTGATTTAGAACTCTTTCTTACATTTATTACCATACCATGGTATTTGGAACTCCTTTTTAGAAGATCCACAAGGATTAAGATTTTTAAGTTCCCCTTGTCTCTTCTTTATTTATTTTAGCTCTTCTTTTGTGAAGATAATATTGATTTCAGTGTTCATGATTTGTCAGTAAGATTATGTTGGGCCAGAGATGACAGACTGAAGTGTAAGCCATCTGTGACTACGTTATCTTATCCTGGCCCTCTCAGCCACATAGACATGGGCACGCTGCACGTCTTCTCAAGCCTTGGTTTTTGTCACTTAAGTAGGGGTGTGCTGTGGTATGGACCTGCTGAGGTTATTGGGAGAAGCGGGGTGGGGCTCAGTTGGGTGCCTGGTGCGTTAATAGCTGTCCTACAGAAAGCATTGTTATTTATGATCATACTATTTACAATAAAATATTTTTAATTTTATCTTGTTGATTGCAAAAAGCTGTCAAGTTTTTTTTTATTAGTGAAACCTCCCACGTTTGTCATTTGAAATAGTGATTAATTTTCCAGGGTTCTTTTTATGCACACCATTTCAAATTCAGCAGTCCCGTTTTCTTTTTTTTTTTTAGTCCCATTTTCTTCATTGATTTTAAGTCCTTTTGGTCAGGAGAGCGAGCAGATTACACTGATTATGTCCCATGGTATAAATGCCTGAAGGATCTAAACCAAGTGATGCTGTCTGTTGCTCTTAAGGGAGAGATTGTTCATACAGCCAGTACTTTGATCTTAGATTTTCTTTTTCCTGGACGTTTCTAAGAGCACCTGGCATACGGCTAAAGACAAAGCAGGTACTCTTGTAAGTTTTCGTTGGCCCGTTGTTTGATACTTCAGTGTGAGATCATGGAGTCCCTTGTTTCCTACTGTTGTGTGACAGATCGTACTTTGGAAAGATTGCTGACCCCTTGATCAGTATTGTTTATAAAATTGTCTTAAATCATTCTTCCAATTTACATAGATCAGGGTTTTGTTGCTTTTAAATCCCAATGTCAGTTCTGAATGTGCCCATTTACAAATAAAAAAATTCACCCAAAAGGGAGGTGTCTTTTTTTCATGGAGCAAGAAGCCTGGGTAGGCATTCCAGGATTGGTAGAGTGGCTCAGCTATGCCTGTAGGTGGATCCCATCTCAGCTTACAGTGGAGGGATCTTTCTTTTCCTCTCTGGGCCTCTTGGGGTTGGACTAACACAAAGCCCGCACCCCCCCCCCCCCCCCCCCAGAAAGTCACAGATGTGAGGCTCTCCTCGTGGAGCCTGGGGCCCTGGGACTCATACTGACTGGCCGACTTGCTGCATAGCCAAGCCAGGCACTAGGGAGGGAGCGTGTACCATACTTGATGGGAGAAGGGTGAGGAATTTGAGGCCATGCCTTAAATGTGCCACTGTGGTAAGTAGATCAGTAGGCAGTCCCTAGTACTGGGTTTTATGGTTGACGTGGAGCATGGGTGATCAATAAAAACTTGAAAAACAAATGTTTGCATGCTCTTTATATATTTAGTTCAACATATTAGGAATTTTTTTAAATTTCTATTTTAATTTTTTGAAAGATTTTATTTATTTATTTGACAGAGAGAGAACCAGAGAGCACAAGTTGTGGGGGGAACAGCAGAGGGAATAGAAGAGGCAGGCTCCCTGCTCAGCAAGTGCTTGATAGTGCTTGATCCCAGATCCCAGCATCATGACCTGAGCCGAAGGCAGGCGCTCAACCAACTGAGCCACCCAGGCGCCCCAGGAATTTCTATTTTAAAATAACTTATGTTTATCTATATAATTATGTTGGAATTAAATTGGTTACTAAGATAGTAATTTATATACACTTAAAGACAGGCACCAAATCCTATTATATGGTACAATGTTTTTCATGTGTTTTTTTTAGAGTTAGTCTCCATTTTTACTACTTTAACCAGGGTTGCAGTTTTTCCCTTTTTAGGATATACTTGAATCATACAGATAGGTACAATGAACAGTAATACATACCCATGTGTCTAATACTGAGATTTAGCAACTAATTTTGCTGTGTTTAGTTCAAATATTTTTAAAACTTTGGTTTTATTCTCATCAAATTAATAAAAATTCATTGTTGAAAAAGTTAAGTAGTGTCAAAAGACTTACAACTAAAAGCAGGCACTCTGTCCCTTCTGATGTTTACCTTTGCCATTTGTAAATAATAGGAGTAGGTAAATTTCTCTTGAATATGACAGTGCTGAACCAAGTAAGGCAATGAGATGACTTTCTTTTTTTCTTTTTTTGGTACATTTTTTTTTTGGAGTTTTAGCAATTTCTTGTTTTTTTTTTTTCCTATTTGCTTAAATTTCTTTGCAACTTGAAGTCTCTTAAACACTCCCAACAGCTTTATAGAACTGTCAGTGTAATATGCAACGTGGCCGACGCCATAGACAGCCCATTTGTCCGTGCTTCCTTGGGAACTCTTCTCCCGTTTTCCGGCCTGTCATGTGAGCTGCGTCCTCTAGCCCCACGGCTGTGCTGTCATTCTTGGAACGTCTGTTTCCTGTCTGTAGCTGGGTTCTCCTCATTTCTGGTTGCTGTGCCCTTCCTGTTTTTGGTGTGTATGCTTGCCTAGGTACAGAGTCAAGAAGCTTCCAGAGCAGACAGTGAGTGAATTCATGGTTAAAGTGACAAGTGGAGGGGTACCTGTCAGTGGTTGAGCATCTGCCCTTCGGCTCGGTCCTGGGATCAAGTCCCACATCGGGTTCCCTGCTCAGCTAAGAGTCTGCTTCTGCCTCTCCCTCTGCCCTTCCCTCGCTCATGCTCTCTCTCTGGCTCTGTCTTTCAAATACATTTTTAAGAAACCTTTAAAATGACAAGTGGAATGTGTAGTTGGTCATATTCTCTACTTTTCTGCCTATGTAAAATGTGGTCTCTAATAGACTTTTCTGAAAGTGCACCTAGGTGAGGTTCTTTCTGAGACCTCACATCAGCATTGTCTTCTTTCTCTCCTGCCCGGTCTTTGGTCAGCCAAAGGTCTAGGTCGAAAATCACTGTTGCTTCAGAATCTCCGGGCATTGTTGCCCTCCTTGTCTCTGAGACCCCACCATTGCTGTTGGGGGAATTGGATGCTGTTTCTGAACCTGTGTGTGTGTGTCCAGGGGTTTCTCCCTCTCCTCTGAAAACCTCTGGGCTGGATTTTTCCTTTGCTTGAGAATGAGTCTCTGTGGGCCTTTCTGACTTGGTGCTTGGGCTTTCCGTTTCACGTCTCTCCTCTTGTGGGGGGAGTTCTGTGTTCTTTTATGTGCTCATTTCCTCTTCTCTGGAATGCATGATGCTGGGACCTCTGCTTCTGAGGCTGGGCTTTCTATTTTTTTCCCTAAACTTCTCCAATTATTCATTTCCATTTTCTCATTCTTAGGAAGTTTACTGACTTTATTTTCCAACCTTTAAAAATGATTTCAGTGAGTATTTTAAGTTTCTATGAGCTCCTTTTTGTTCTCCTATAATTTCATTGATGCAAGTATTCTGTGGCTATAAATTGTAATTTTAAAAAGACTTTTTTGAATTAGCCTGGCCTGTTAGGAGTGTCTTTGTGTCTATTTGCTTTTTAGTCTGTTTTGTTTGGAGGTTTTCCTCAAATTTCCTGAGCTCCAAGGTGGATCCTTTAGCAAGACACAAAAAAGTTAGTTGGAAGCTGTGTGTATAAGTGGTGCTTGGTGGCCTTCAGTTACATTATTGGGGCCTCCCAGTGTCAGTATTTGGGGGTGTTTTCTCTATAGATAGGTTTTTAGATTTCCTGGCAGTATAAGGAGAGAATATTGATCAACCCTCAGATACCCCGATTTCTCCTCTGTAGTCCTGTACCTTTACATCTGTTGAAGCCTTGCCACCAGAGACCACTTCTTGTCACATGAAACTGGGCTTACTAGATTTATTCAGCAGCAGGGAGAGTGCCCTTGACAGCCTCCCAGGGAGATTTCACAAGACGCAGAGCTGTTCCCAGGGAGGACTGTGTGAGTTGGTAGGGTTGGAGACACTGAATGTGATGTGGATGAGATTGGTGAGGATTCCTAATTTAAACAAGGTGCTGGAACAGAATGGGTTTTTATCTTTGGGAAATCTGAGTCCACTTGAAATTTACAGCTAGTAAAAGGCCTGTCTGGTAGCTGTTGCAGCTTCAGCTCCAGACCACCATGATAACGCAGATATCGCAGTACTATGTGTCAGATGAATTTCTTGGTTTCTCAGTGTATATATGAGTTATGTATATGCTCTACTGCAGTCTATTGTGTGTAGTAGTGTTATGTTTATTTTTCTTAAAAGATTTATTTATCCATTTTAGAGAGAGTGCATGAGGAGGGGGAAAGGACAGGCAGAG